CTTTTGGGAGACCTTTATCTAATCTTGTCTTTGAAATCAATATGTTTTGTTTTTATAAAGATCAATTTTGTTTGAAGATTATTGCTTTTTCTTCTCCGGATCATCCTTCACTTCTTCACATTTGCATTCCAATGAATCTTTCACTCCTTTGTTTCTTTGATGAGACTTGCAACTAGGGATTCAAGTTTTTTTTTTAAAATATTTTGCTAATTATTTCTGCTCTGCAGGCCATAAGTTATGTTTTCACAGTTCTGATTCCTCTCTTGATGAATGAAGCATTTGGGAGCCTCCTGCTATGGTTCCATGTTCTTTTGAGAATCTATAAAGTCCTCTCTCTCTCTCTCTCATCAGATATTGATTAGTTTTCCTTTGTCTTAAAATATTTATTTAGAGATATCATTTGTTTAGCTGATTTGGGAGCCATATTCCCTTCTGTTATTAAAATCCTTCCTGTTGATTTATCTGCATGTGTTCAAGGTTTTTAACTGATGTTTCTTCTTATGTCTTGGATAATTTCACACTTTTTCTTTTATTCTCCTATTACTTCCTGACTTCTTCGCCTTTGAGGGTAGTTTTCTGGAGTGAGGGACCTTAAACTGTCTTAGCCTCCTTCTTTCCTAGGCATTTCACTTTTCACTGGCCTCAGTTTCTGTTCCAAGTGGTAGAATAGAACTTGTCTCAGCTGGATGCCAGTCTCATTTCCTTCAGGCCAGGTGGAGCCCCAACACATACTGTTGTTCCCTCTGTTCTTTAGTTCAGTGGCTGAGCACTGCTATGGTATAATATGCTGCCAAATTGTAGTCCTAGGTAGAGGAGTTAACTTCTACCTCCGCCTCTGTGCATTGGGTGAGAGTAAAAGAGGAAGGACAGAACTGAGTTCTATTACAAGAAGTGTTGCCCCCAGAGCCTGGGGGATGGTGGAGGGAGAGGGAGCTAGGCAAGCATTTTAGAGATTAGTCTTCTTTGTTGTTACTAGTCTGGTTGTTACATCCTTAGGATTCCTGGGGACTTAGACCATGTACAGCTGCAGCAGTTTTATCTATTGTGTATAATTCTTAATTTGGAGAGGTTTCAGATCCTTTGGATTCTCAAATATCTTATTGGTCATATGCCCCGGAAGTAGAAGTTTACATTCTAATGGGAGAAGACAATACATAAAGGAGAGCTGGAAAGAGGGATGGTGGTATGCAAATGGCCAGGAAGTGGCATGGAGCTTGGATCTAGGCAAAGTAAAGAGAAATTACCTATGGGAGTCTGAGGTTGCATTGATGGGAGGAGAGGAGAGATGAGTGATGCCAAATATAGATACCCTGATGAAGAGATGATGGGGAAGTGACCAAGAAGGAGGCCTGGTTCTGGGAAAGAAAAGGGGAAAGTTCATTTATTATTACATCATGGTTCTCCAGATCCAACATTTTATCCTGATGAGAAAGTTTTGAAGTCTCAAACTCTAAATATGATCGCATAAAACTTAAAAACTGGGCTGGGGTTTGGTTAGTGGCTTCGCCTTTGTTTTCTATTTTTGTCCATTTTAGGATGAGTAGGAATTTGAGTGTAGGAGGTGAATTCAAACTCAGAAGACTTCCAGTAACCTAATGATTCATTCAACCAGCTATTAAGTATTCTAGATTAGTTTTTGACAAATTCTGCCCACAATGGATGCATTTAAAAGAGATGAATGTAAACAACATTGGGTTGATTCTGGTTTTAGATCCTCCTTATTTTAAGTGAATGTGAAAATAATTGTATGAGCTTCCTTTGCTAGAAAGATTTGTGAATTATTTACTTAATTTTTTTTAGGAGTTTAGAAAGTGGGCTTTCCCCGTGAAAATTTCAGTTAAATTGACATTCTAATTCAGGTTGGTCAAATTCAGGTAAAAAATTGTAGATAGTTTAGATAAAAGGTAGCTAGAGGGTCTGCCTTGGAGTTGAGAAGACTTGCCTTTGATACAGTTTGCTTATGTGACCATGGGCACATTATTTTACCTGAGAGTGCTCTAGGTAATTTTATGACTATTACAGATGTGTTGTTGCTCTGGTCCAATGCAGACATTTCTGTTCTTGGAGTTCCTCATAAAGATGAAATCACAAGTCCAGACATATACACCCCTTACATCAGCCCTAAATTTTAAAATCCATTTTTATTATTTTAAATTATTTTTTTTCAATCAACAAGCATTTATTTTTTCTTCTTCCCCCTAAAAAAATAAAGATAATGCATAGTCAAGCCAACAAATTCCCATTTTGGTTATGGCCAAAAAGGCAAATATCATTCTGCTTGTTCAGTCTATCAACTCCCTGTCCAAAGGTGGGTAGCATTCTCCATCACTGGGTGTTCTTGAATTCATGGTTGAGCATTACATTGATCAGCATTTATCATTTTCTGTATTTTGTCAACTTTGCTGATCTCATGGGTTTCAGGTTAAACCTCAGTTTCTTTATTTTCAATTTCTCTAAATTATTAATGTTTTGGAACCGTTTTCATGTGCCTTGGTTAACTTGGATTTCTTCCCTTGAAAATTGATTGTTTTGGCCATTTAGCAATTGGGAGATTGGTTCTTAATCTTGCGAATTTGAATCTGTTCCTTATATATGATGTAAATGAGAACTTTATCAGAGAAACTCATTGCAAAAAATCTTCCCAGTTCATTGTTTCCCTTACTTTTTAAAAAATAAATATATTTTAATAATATATTATTTCCTTTCCAATCTTAGCTATACTGTATTTATGCAAAACCTTTTAAATTTTATGTAATCAGAATTGTAAGTTTAATCTTTTGTGACCTTTTTAATCCCTTGTTTGGTCAGAAACTCTTCCCCCATCCATACATCTAAAAGGTAATTACAAGCTTGCTCCTTTTACTTGTTTAAAATGTGACCTTTTGTTTTTGGGTCAGATATCTATTTGAAGCATATAGTGGAATATGGTGTGAGATACTGATCTGAACCTAATTTCTGTCAAACTGATGTCCAGTTTTACAATCTTTTTTTCTTTTGTCAAATAGTGAATGGAGTCTTTGGGTTTATTCCACACTAGGGTATAAAGGGTTTTTTTTTATTTTTATGTTTTGTTTTGCTTTATTAATTCATTCATTCATTTATTTATTTATTTTTTGCGATTACATATTATGCACCTAATCTGTTCAACTGATCAATATTTCTTTTTTAACCAGTACTAAACCATTTTTGGGCAGGTAGGTGGTACAGTGGATAGAGTACAGGGGCTGGAGTCAGGAAGACTCTTCTTTGTGAGTTCAAATCTAACCTGTGTGTGACCCTATGAAGTCACTTGACCCTGTTTGCCTCAATTCTTCATCTGTAAAATGAGCTAGAGGAGGAAATGGAAAACCAACCACTCCTGTATCCTTGCCAAGAAAGCCCCAAATGAGGTCACAAAGATTCAGATGTGACTGAAAAACTACTCAACAACAAAAAAAATCATTTTGATGATTATTGCTTTGTAGTATAGTTTGAAGCCTTTTTTTCCCATTATTTCCCTTGAGATTCTTGACCTTTTTTTATTCTAGATGAATTGTTATTTTTTGTAGTTCTAGCTCTTCAAAGCAATGCTTTAGTAATTCTCTGTGGCACATAAGTAAAATAATTTAGGTGATGTTGTCTTTTTATTATATTTTTTGCATGTGTTTTTAGATTAGAGAACAAAATGAAAATACTAACAAATGAAATTTTTGGCTTCTTGAAAGTCTGCCTTAAATATGTTTTTCTCAGATAGAAAATTGACAATCCAGAAACTGACTATAATCAGAATAGCCTAAATCTGTTATTCTGAATATTTTTTTTCTCTCTGCTGGCCTCTCCTCATATCTTAGTGGAATTATTCAGTGAAGAGAAAAAAGTTTTTAAGTTAAATAAGTTAAACATCAAATGTTCCATAAGTGAATATATAGTGGTGTTATTTAACTTTACAACAGTTCTCTGAATACAGTGGGTACTCATACGAATAATTTCTTGGCTTCTATTATAAATCTTTTCTGCTTACTTCAGAGCACCACTGCTCAAAAACATGTTTCTCACCACGTTATTTGACCATGCTATTTCTACTCAAAGGCATCAACTCTCTCTTTGTAAAATTAGGCTTCAGAATCAAAATCAGGCTGTTTACTTCTCCATTTCTGGCTTTTCTGATGCTTTTCTGACTTCTTCTTTCACATATATCAAGCAAATTTGTTCTTAGCTCCTTTTGTTGAATTTTTCCTTTCCAGTTTGCATCCTACTATTTTTCAGGAGACTTGCACTTTCAAACCTTGCTTCCCACACTCTCAGTTTGTTGCAGTTGTTTCTTAACTCATTTTTACCTCTTTGAATCTCCAATTTTGTATCTTTCAGGAAGCTTTCTTACACTTAAGAGGGTAGTTTGAAAACTTTTTGCCTTTTCCTCAGAAAAATATAAGCCAGTACAATGTAAGAAACCTCTTTTAAAATCATAAAATGACTCTGAATCCATAATCAGTACAAATCTGTTAAGTTTCAGCATATGAAATAAATATTGCTGGATGTATTAACTGCCATAGAATTCTAGTGAGTAGAAGGAATGGGCTATATTGCATTGTGATACAGCATCTAATCAGCTAGGTGATGCAGTATATAGAGCACTTGGCCTGGAGTTAAGAAGATCTGAGTTCAAAATAGGTCTAAAACACTTATTAGCTGTGTGACCTTGGGCAAGTCACTTAACCCTTATTTGCCTCAGTTCCTTATGTGTAAAATGGGGACAAACTGGAGAAGGAAATGGCAAACCACTCCAGTATCTTTGCCAAGAAAACCCCATGGACAAAAAGTCCATGGAGTCATATAGAGTGGGACACAATTAAACAACCGAACAACTAATAGCATCTATCACGTTGTGGTCACTCCATGTTTAATATTTGCTAAAGATGTCAAAAAATGCTGGATATTTCATTATTAGGAAGCTTTATTTTAATTTGTGCAAATCTTGAATCCTTGTGTATGTGTGTATGTGTGTGTTTTTTTTTTTAAAGGATGTTCCTTCTGGTTGGAGCTCCCAAAGCAAACACTACCCAACCTGGCATTGTAGAAGGAGGACAAGTGCTCAAGTGCAGCTGGTCTTCTAATCGTGTATGCCAGCCAGTGGAATTTGACTCAACAGGTAATTAACCCTTCATTTAACATAATTCAGCTGCTAGATTTTAGTAATTATCTTAAATTGAATAATGAATCCCTGTAAATGGGAATTATTTTCCCCCTTGAATGTTTCTGAGTTTTAAAAGCACATTAAAATAAACTGTTTTCCTACTCCAGTGAGTATCCAAGGAGGTTTTAAATGTTCAGCTGATAATTCTCACTGAACTTTGAGAAATTCTGAAAAAAAAAATTCACGTTCCCATAGTATTTTTGGTCTCCATTCTGACCAAAGAGTCAGTCTACAGGCAGAGCAAAACATTATTTTGGATCCTGTGTCTGCCAATTTAAAGTATTCTTTCATCAACTCCTAGTAAGAACTGAGTCTCAACAGGTATGAATCTTTCAAAGCTTTGTTTTATGCTACCGAAACCAGTTAGACATCTTTTTTTTTTTACTGAAGATTATTTTTGTGATTAAAAAGGAAAGTCTTTAAGGCTTCAAAAATGTATGTCCTTATTCTAGTCCAAAATTTTCTGGGAAGTTGGAATTTTGTTGTTCTCATGACATCAGAATATAATCCACTGGGACAAAGCTCAGCGCCATTATTGTGGAACTGTAGAATAAGTCAGGGAGGGGAATAAAAAATGATCAGTAGTAGTAAGGCTCAAATTTCACCATTATTTGGCACTTGTGAACAACAACATTGGACAAAAAGGAAACATATACACATACAAATACATAGGACTCAGTATGAACATATATTAGAAAGCTTCATGCACCTCAAACATTGTGATATTTCTATGAGGCATAGTTTTATATAAATTTGAATTGTAGTAATTAGTTGTCAAAGTCTCTGATAGGATTTGATGAGTGAGGCATCTAGCAAGAGGCCTGAAGTAAAAGATAACCCATGTTTCCATTTTATTTAAGTTAGTTCTTTCTAGCTCCAAAAATCTTTGTTTGAATTAGAATTTTAGGAACTAAAAGGACCATTTTAAAGAGAACACCGACTTGCCATTCAGAAGATTTTGGTTCAAGCCAAAGAATTAATATTAGTTGACCATAGATTACTAATTAATATTTCTGTTCTATTTCCTTGTGTTTGCCCATCAAAATTGTTTTCTATCGGTTTTGCCAATGGTTAGTGGAAAACACAGGACACTTTTTTCCCCTGCTTGAACCCATGTATATTAAATCCTTTTTTTCATATCTTGCTTTAGGCTAACATTTGGAAAAACCCAAGTATGAGTGAATAGGCTCAGTTTTACAGCAAATAGGGAAACACCTGTGATTCAGAATGTTACGGGTCAGAGCATGTGTGTCTGCCAGAAGAATATGTATACTTTTAAAATGAAACACACCACATTTCAGCTTTGGCAGGGCAGACTTGTTCAGATATGTTTGTTTATTTAGCTTCAGAGATTACAGTGCAGCACACAGTAATATAGGGACTATTCTGTCAGGCATTTGGCCCTGTGTTCATTTTGCTAACTCACAGTTCAATGAAATGTGAATCTGGAAACAATCATATTTTACTTTCTTTATGTTATATTTTCAAAATGTAGTTTCAGCAGTTGAACATGTTATTTGTTATGAGTTCTGAACCTGTTGGCAAGCAGCATTAAATGCATTTGAAAATAAGTTTTTATTCCAGTGTTTTGACAATATCATGAAGCCCATGGACCACTTCTCAGAATAGCGCTTTTAAATTTATAAAATAAAATGCCTAGAATCACAGAGGAAAACAACTCTACCAAAATAGTTTTAAAAAAACAAGTTGAATGATCTCAGGCTAAGAACCTCTGATCTAGAAAGATTAATTTTGTCCTTCCTCAAAAATGAACAAAGAAAAAAATCAAGTAAGCATGCAGAACCAACTAGATGTATGATCAGAAATTTTGAAACTTTGTGTATAGCTAGATATTACATAGTGATTTTTTGGGGAGGGGCTAGGCAGTGGGGTTAAGTGACTTGCCCAGGGTCACACAGCTAGTAAATGTTATATGTCTGAGGTCAGATTTGAACTCAGTTCCTTCTGACTCCTGGGCTGGTGCTCTATCCACTGTCACCTAGCTGCCCCTACATAGTGCTTTTTAATCTAAACAGTTTTCAGAGACTGGTTTCTAACTTCTAAGAATTTATAACTCAAAGAAGAGAAGTAGGAAAAATATGGATAAATACTAGATAGGATATTTTATACCATGTAGATTTTGCAGTTTTCTGTTTCTAATATAGGAGAATGTTTATATTTAATTTGTTCCCTTGCCTTGCATAATTAAGAAGGGCCTGGGTATAAGCTGATATAGAATTTTTAATAAGACAAAGGTGTCAGAAAACTGTGTGAAAGATGAAAGGGCACTTGGAGGCTCAGACATTTAGGAGAAAGGGAAAAGAAACCGTACATTAACAATAAAGAATGTACATCTGTTGTGATGATCAACAGTTTTATGGATCAGTTTATCCTTTGAATGTTTACATGTACCCAGATGTTAGACTTAAGTATAAATCATAACTAAGCCATTTCCCCCACTACTTGTCTGAGCATATTGCCATGAACTGCTGCTCAAGGAAAATATAGTGTTTCTTTTTTTGTTTTAAGGCAATACATAACATAGTTTCTTGGATTTTTAAAAAGTGAATTGAACACTGAATGCTTTCCCTTCTTGACTTCAGAGATTTTTTTTTAAAGTCTTCTAGGAACTTTATTTGAGTTTTAAGAACCACTCTATATTTTCACTTTATTTTCATATGATAACAGATGTCTGTATAAACCAATCAACAAACATTTAAAATACAAAAGAAAAGATAATTGTTTTCAAACCAAAGTAGTTTTCCTTCATGTGTTTGTTGAAGTAATAATTTTATGTCTCCCCTCCCCACTCCCATTTGAATAGTATTCTCTGGTTGTTTCCATTCCATATGAACTGTATAGCACCTTTCCTCTGGCAAGTTTGGTCACATTCCACAATAAGAGGTCATTATTTTGAACTGGATAAGAGAACGATGAGAAGAGGAAATAAATAATGGAGCAATAGTGAAAAATAATGGATAAGCAGAAGTAAAATGGGTAAAATACAGCAGGTATAATCAAAAGAGGAAAGAGATTATAGGGTGGAGGGGACACTCAATCATTTATTCCATGAGGTTTGTTTTTTTTTCATAATCATTAGGCACTGATTACTACTTTTGGTATTCTCTAACCCCTACCTCTTTAAGGTCCGCTGCTATGACACCTCATGTCTCATATTTCAAGCCTTCCTTTTCCTTTTTCCATCCACCAGAACTTATTTCTTCTGTGTCTCAATACCCTTGGGACAGAGGTGACAGTGGATTAATCAGAAAAATAAGTTGTATTGATATGTTAGCTGACTGTTATCTTCTCTCTCAGGTAATTTAGCCTGACTACAATGGACTTGTGGACTTGTCAGTGTGAGTACTCTTTCTAGTACAGACTCCAATCCATTCATAGTTTCTCATTTTATGTGATTCTTGTCCATGTCTTGCCTCAGATTCTCAATGGAATGTCTACCTAAACTTTGAGAGCTTTCCTTTGGGTCTTCTGTCATTCTGTAGATGCTACTGCAGGATGCAAGCTGACCATTGGTTATTCTTTCCTTCCTTTCATGAGCAACCCACCCCGGTAATTAGCATATATTTATTTAACTGGATGATATCCTATATACTGCTTCATGCACACGTATTTTTATGCTCATCACATAGGTAAGCTCTTGATTAACTTTTGGGCCGCCTGTGACTTTGACTTTTCATAGACTGTGATCACCCCTGTAATTTTTTCAGTCATAAAGAGTCACTATGTGAATAAAACTGTTTTTCTTAAAAGACTTTTTCTCTTAGCAGCTTGAGGTTGAGAAAAATTAATATTATGCTATATTATTTAATGACCAACATTTTCTGTGATCCATCCTTTTCCTTGTTTTGTCAGACCCCACATATAAAGGTCTGGCAGTTTCTGAAGGGTGTGATCTAGTAATGTTATTGCTCCCAGCCCCAAAGGCATCTGCTCATTAACCGACTTGGGCTGGGCCTCTCCCAAGTGGGACTCTCAATTCTATTTACCCCCATAGACAGACCAGTTTGAGTCTAGGGGACAAATCTCTTTTGTCCTTGCTTTCTAATCAAAAGTAGGGGTGACTTGGTTGCATGGATAGACCAAAGGAGAGAAGCCTTATTTAGATGGCTTTTGTTTTTCTAGCCAAAATTGCTAGGGGCAACTGGGTATTATAAAGCAACCAGCTTTCTTTAAGTGTTGCTACTGAGAGAAGGGTATAATCAGCCTTATTTGAAGACCAGTCTACTTTCCCCAGCTGCAAACTAATCTTATCACCTGAGGATTAGTTCCCTCCCTCCTTCCCAAGATGAAGTAATAAGAGAATAGAGAGGAGCTGAGAACTCTTAACCACCTCATCGTTAAAATTTCTACTAGTTGAGATTGCCTTGCCTTTGCCAGGGCAGACTCAAATGGTGTACTGTCAGGCCAGTCAGAAGGAAGACCTAAGTTTAAATGGGCCTTTGGTTATTGAAAGAAATGATCCAATTTATTGGTTATTGCTAGTCTAACTAATAATTGATTGTTTATACTTGGAACTTTGTCTCTCAGAATTTCTATCATAACAACCATCCTTTATTATCAGGTACCACACCCCTGTTAATAAATTATATTGTGCTCAGAGAACTGCCTCAGTTCATACTTTTGTTAAATTTCATTCAACACAAGGTAATTAAAAGTAATTTATAGTTTCTCAGATATAGCCCAGTCTGCACTCTGCTTCCTATTGTTTCACCTGTGATACATATTTCTTGTCTGTGCATTTCCTGAAGCCTAGAAGTTCTTGGTGATTTCTTAATCTTAAATATTGCTTCTACTTTCTCCTGTGGTACTTCAGATATTGTGTTGTTAAGAGTCTACACTAAGAAGTTCTACTGTAATTGATGATGGTATTGAAATACTGGCAAATTTGTTCCATATGTTTGCTGACCTCTTTCGGGGTTCATCTGCAAATATCT